AGAGAGAGAGAGAGAGAGAGAGAGAGAGAGAGAGAGAGGGGTGGGAAAGGGTTTGAAAGTTAGAATTGGAGTCAAAAGATACCCGGAACGTGTAAATATTTATAGAAGAGCTCGTCTGCTGCCCAGCTAATGCTTGTATTTGAGAGAATGCCATGGGAAACAAAATTTCACTAGGTAAATATCAATGGTCAAAAGATACATAAAGTGAAAAGTCTATTGTTCATTGCACAAGAAAGGAGAACAGAACCAAGAAAGAAAGTTCACCAAAAAACTCGTATTCTCAATTAATCATAAATCGGCAAAAAAATCTGCATGACGAGAAGAAGAAGGTTGTCCCCGTGTGCTTTGTTCTTATTGTTTTCTGCATGAGGAAGTTATTATCAGCTATAAGCACTGTTTTGTTAGCTAATAGCTCAAATTTTCTCCTAAAACCAGATCAGGACGAATAAAACGCTAGATGGATCTGTTGCGAGCAGGCATACGTGAGACTGTGTGTGTGTGTGAGAGAGAGAGAGAGAGCATGGGGTTTTACAATGTATCTAGTCCTCTTTTGATGATAAGAAAGATAGATAGGTTTGAGAGAGAACATTCGATAATATTTGGGGCCATTCAAGTGGATGGTGTGTGGATAGCCAGAAGAGTAGAGTGCCAAGTAGAAGAGATAAATATGCTCATCACTGTCATGTTTATATAAAAATATAAGCCATGAAAAATAGAAATAATGGCTTAACGTGGAACTCTAGAAATCTACATCAAACTACTACGCAAGGTTTCCACACATCAACAAAATGAGGACCATACCCAACCAAGGTGACAATGATAGGATGAATGAATTAATAATGGAAGAGAATAAATATCATGAACAGAAAGAATGGCCCACATGAATGATCATTTGAAAGAGAGAATGAATCCATGTTTACTATAATGATTATGATCAAGGGCAATACTCATACCACGTGAAGTGCAATAATGTGCATTAATTTTATTGCATACTAGTCATTATACTTGTGAATTGTGATCCATGAACAAACTAGGAGGGATGGTCTTGTGCTAGACATTCTCTACTAGTGTTGAGGAACAATGTAGCAATCACTTCAAAGAGAGAATGAACCCATGTTTACTATAATGATTATGATCAAGGGCAATACTCATACCAGGTGAGGTGCAATAATGTGCATTAATTTTATTGCATACTAGTAATTATACTTGTGAATTGTGATCCATGAACAAACTAGAAACAGTGTAGCAATCACTTCTACATTCTGTCAAGAGTGGAAATTTCTATCACATAGTTGAGATGAAGAGCTCAATAACCGATAAGAAACACAAAGAATATGGGCAAGAAACCTTGGCCCTACGGTTTTGTGATAAGCATGGAATTTCAAATCTACCACGCAAGTGTATCCTCATCTTTTTGGACATAATGTAAGGGATGGCAGCAATATGTAGATAAATTTTAATCATACAAGCTATTCTAGGAAATTATTCAAATGCAGGTTCAATCAATTTGTCAAATTTTTACCAAAAATACTAAATTAGTCGCTTTACCATTGGAATCTTCTTCGATCGGCATATCGACATCCATATCATCATCACTGGAGTCTCTGGAAACCTCTTTCGTACACGAACCATTTTGCCAGTCTCCCAATAAGGAAGGCAAATCCCACAACTTCACAAATCCAAGATAAACAATCAGTGCTTGAAGAGTTAATAAGTATCAAACGTGGGTAGACATCAAGCACGGGCACACATTTGTATATCTACTAATGAAAATTGTGTGTGTGTGTGTGTGTAAGAGAGAGAGAGAGAGAAAGAGACTTGAGACAACCAATTATTACTATACACTCACAAAGCTGTAAGGCAATAGTCCATCGCTTAAATCAAACTTCTCTTGCATATTCAAATCTACAACAGAAGAAGACACATGAAAGAATGCCAACCCACCTTTAACATGTGATCATGAGAAATACTGCCAAGAAACTTCCTATCGTGCGAAAAGGCTGCCAAGGACATTTCAAAACCTTGAGAAATGAAGGGAAACCTTATCAGAAATCAAACACATAATTTGAAGGCACAGTGATTATACCAAGGCCCTCAATTGGATATTCTGCATGCTCTGCAATTGGCTGAATTATTCTGTTTGGTAGAATGCCAACCAACCTACAAATAAAGCTAACTTGTAAATCATAAATACCATAAATAAAAGGATTTTAATCACAGACAAGAAAACAAGGCAAACATGCACAACTCACAAAAAAGGAAACAACCCTTTGTTTTTTAGAGTACATGTTTAACGCAAATGAAACTCATCTTTTAAAAAGAAAAAGACAGAAGAATTGGCTATATTGAAATAACCTGATGATGCCATCCTCCGAGCCAGAAATTAAAGTATCCTCGTCAAGCTGGTAAATTGGCCAGCATTAGAAAGATAACATTAAAAAGAAACTGTTTAGAGCCAAACAAGGAATAACTAGGTCATTGGCAAATTTTTACCTTCAATAATGTCTCAACTGACATGGGATGTCCAAGGAAACGGTCACTGTTAAGCCCCAAATGAACAAGTTCAATCAGAGGTGCTGAGCAAACACATAAAAATGGCTTACATTTATAATTGCTGAGCAAGCATATACCCATGGAATAAGGGATTACGAAAAACCAAATGCTGTTGGGGTCATGACTGTCTGTCGAAATGATGGATGGCGAAGGTGAGGGAGAGGGCCCCGTCATTAGGGTCATCCGTCTCCTGTGGGGTCCCAATCTCTCTATCAATGTCTATCATTTCATCAGATGGTCATGATGTTAATGGCCTATAACTTTCCACAGTCCATGTAGTACAGGTATACTTGCCCATTTTGTGCACAATAAGAACATTATCTTTCATACACCAAGGTCACAAACACCTCAAGACATCAGCTGTAAAATTGGACAATTAGGGAGTGTCCTTTCTCTACACAAAGTCCATAGAAAATTTTCTTAGACTTCCAGTGTGACCAACGGTACATCCCCTACAGTCTGATTTCAATTCGACAGCTAGGCTGATTGTGAAAAGAAGCGATCTTCTTGTATAGTCGCCAATAAGATAAAACTAAAGTTTGCATAAAGATTAGAGCCCAGTAGCCAACCTGCAGTCCTTGAAATATCCCCAGGAGTAAAGAAGTACTGGACCAGACTGAGTTCCACAAACTACTTTTCGACCATTCTGAACAAAAAATGAAATTACATGTCAAGCTTATTGAACACCTTATTTGTAAATAAATACTCACTCATAACTTTCTAAAGCCTGGAAAACATATAAAGTGTACCCAAAATCATGGTGTCAAGAATTTTATTGACATAATTTATAAGCAAAACAAATAATAAGGGAAAGTACACCATAACCCACTTGAAATGGTTTCCAGAACTCCAAAGGCACCCACCATATGTTCCTAATGTTTGACAATGGAGTTAATTGTACCTTGCTGACCTCCATTGGATAGGTTTTTTATTATTATTACTATCTTTCCCCTTGCTTCAATTTTGGAATTTCCATAGAGACACTGTTTCCATCATTACCCACTTCAAACTATGTATCCATTTAATATTGCCATGCGGTTTCCTCAACCAAAAACACAAATCTTGGCAGTATACTCGCCTTCTGCTCTAAGAACAATTTTAGAAAAAACAATACACAACTTATGTGTTTAACAGCAAAATAGGCTTCGACAAGACAAAATCCACTGTCACAATGAAATTTACAGTTTTGGGTTACAATATATATATATATATATATATGGAAACACCTAAAAAACGCCTATAGGCGAACTTCTACAGTGTTTCACCACCACCACAGACTTGCTATGTCCGTGGCGGTTCATTAAATGAACCTATAACGGACGACACGCCATCCGTTGCGGTTCCACATGAATTTTTGACCGTCACAGACCTAGCATGTCCGTGGCGGTACTGTCCGTGAAGGTACTACCACGAACATGCTAGGCCTGTAGCGATCGAAAAATGCACGCCTTCTGATTCTTTCAGACGGTGATGAGCCTATGGGCAAAAATACTATTCATTTTCGCCCATAGGCATTGCGTAGTCTCTTCCTATATATATATATATATATATATATATATATATGGTGTGTT